TTTTCTTTCATTTATTTTCTTCCTTTGCTCCTTCGTTTGTTCGTTTGTTCCTTTCTTTCATTTGTTCGTTTACTCGTTCGTTCGTTCGTTCGTTCAAACCCTCCATCGTTCATTCGTTTCTTCATTCCTTCCTTCCTTCCTTCCTTCCTTCCCTCCTTTCTTTTTTCTTTCTTTCTTTCCTTCCTTACTGTCTTTGCTTCTTTGCTTTTTTAAAATAAATCATTTTCCTTCTTTTGGTCTGTTTTCTACTTACAATCTGCCTTTTTCATTTATCATTTTTTAATGATATTTTATAATATTTTTATTTTATTTTTAATTTTTTAAATTTATTTGATACTATCAATAGACATCATTCACTTATTAATTGAATCCTGTTTTAATCCATTTTGATCTAGGCATCACCATCAATATATATATATATATCTCATACCATATTTCCTCTATTATTAAAGCCCCAGCTGCTACTAAGGCCCTACCCCTAAGGGTGAAATTGCTAAAGCATGTGGTCCTTTTACCTCGACAGCCCTTCTCACCTGTTGAGACTATGAATAAAAATAAATATGAATTTCCAAAGATCAGGAAAAAAAGAATTAAGCCCCCAGCCTCTAATAAGCCCCTCTTCTAATAAGTGACCCCAGTCCAAAAGCTCTGATGAATAATAAGCCCTCAGGCAGCTTAATAGAGAGAATATAGTATGTCTGTAAAATTCTAATCAGTATAAGTAGAGTATACCTAATTATTTATGCAAAGTAAGAGAATAAATTCTCAGAGAATCAAAAAATAAGCTCAGTACCAAGATACTGCCCTTCAAAGCTGCATCCATCTTTTACACACGTTTTTGGCTTCAAAAAGTCCAAATTTAATGACTTCAACCATTGTTACTAACATTATTTTTGAAGTGCTACCTAAAACGTTTGATATCTCGTTCGCCAACTATCCATTTCAGTGACCATCTATCAAAGAACTGCAATAAAAAAGCAAGACTTCCATGGAGATTTGGGTCTGAATTAGTATATGTAATAGGACTCCATGCTGTCCAATTAAGAAATAATTGGACAAGGAAAATTCTGAGGACTTCCAAAATTGGAATTTTTCGAGCCTAATTATTTCTTGGTTGGGGAGCATGAAATCCCATTACCTATTAATTATATAGCTGCCTAATTAATCCCATATCAACAAGACCTGTCCAATTAAGAAAATAATTGGACAGTTACCTATATGGGATTAATGAGAAGCTGTATAATTAAAGATTTTAGAGGATCAGAGTATTAAAATCTTTGATTTAGTGTAAACTTTCCCTCAATAGATGGTTTTTTTGCAGTCCTTTGATTGATGGTTGTTAAAATGCTAGTCACCAAACAAGACTAGCATTCGGGGGTCTAGTCTCCTCAGCAGCCGTTCTTAGTGTCGGTCCAGTAAACGCTTCCCTTCCCTAAGAACAGCTGCCTGGGGTCGCACTTCAACGATAATGGTTATAATTTGTTGGATGAAAGTCAAAACATGAGAAAAAGCTGTATGGTTTACAGGAAACATGTTTATTCATCGCACTTAAATAATTAAAAAAGGCCAGCATGTGGCCAGCATATTCACTTATTATGGAAAATGCATGGTGTTTTTTAAATAATGTAACCTGCACTGATAAGTATTGAATGTAAATATATAGGTATAATTATATTAGATTGCTAGCAGAATTGTTGTTGAGTTTCAAAATGATAAAATAATAGAAGCCAGAGCTGGAAATGATGGTTTGGAAGTTTGACAAAATTGGATAATAGTGCTTATAGAGGTTTTGCACCATCATGTGCCCGCGCCATAATCCAGCTTGGGCTGCCTGTGGTTAGATGGCTGAACAATAACGTCCCTTTGGGCTTAGGAATTGAATTCTTTCTTATGTAAAACGATTGTATTGTTCCTGCCATCTGACATGGCTGCCGTCATGTGATGGTGCAAAACCTCTATTCGTTGTGGTGCAATGTTTACAAATTTCAGGTCACATGTCATTCCCAAAAATGGTGGTGCATTAGTAAACACATGAATATCGATACAACTCAAACAAAGAATGTGATTCTCAAGAGAACAAATGTCTCGTGGTCTTTAATGGAAAAACATTGCACTACAACAAATGAGGTCCATTAATAATACAACCTACAGCCTGAATCACATGGGCCGCTTGGGGTCAGCAATGAGAACTTTAGCCCCTCCATACTCCACCTGCAATGACATAACATCAGGGCTTAAAATAGCGGTTGGACATCACACAATCTCCACCCAGAATTGGAATTTGTCCGGTCAAATCTTTGCCTTGCCAAACGTTTTGACCAGTAACATTGAGCCAGAAAAGTGTTATGAGCTAAAACTAATTTGGCCAGTCATCATGACCACCGACTTACTGGCCGTTATCGTAAGCCCTGAACATTTTGTGAAAGAAAGTAATTTCTAAAGCTTTCCACAATTACCAATGACAAATAGTCCACTAGTTTGTTTATACCAAAGTATCTTGTGTATTTTTTTATATTATCTTTGTGTCTCGCCATTTGGTTGCATTTTTTATTATTTTGATCTCAACAACAACTTAATATTTTAGTGCTGTAGAGGCTTTACACTACAGTAGATGTATCTAAAGATGGCAGCCATGACAGGAGACACAAAACAATTGAATCTGGTCTCATCTGATTTACATGAGAAAGAATTCAGTTTCCCAGGGGAGAAAGACTCTATTGTTGTGCCTCCTGTCATGGCTGCCATCACGTGATGGTGCAAAGCCTTTGTGGAAGTTATTGTATTAACATGTTGTACCTCTTGTCCGATCCTTCAGCCATGACATCAACAGAGGATGCCCCTGTAGGGGGTGGACGGAGCATCCTGGACGATATGGTAGGGGTAGGAGATATGGTGCTGCTTGAACCATTAACAGAAGATGCTGTGATGGAGAATCTGTGGGAAAGATATAATTCCAAAGATATTTATGTAAGTAACTAACTTTGTTTTAGGCTTGATTTAGTGAATAATTTTTCCAGTTCCAAGCAATATTATCAAGATCATCATCAGGATGTTTCATCATCATTATTATGGCCATGCATCATCATCATCATGTATCATCAACATCATTATTATCCTATATGAGAATATATGTATAGAATATATATTTGTACTGCGGTAATAATGTGTCTGATTGAGCTGATCCGCGCAGTATATCAAGCAACTTATGCATCTGCTAATCGTAAGACTCAGAATTTGAACCCTTGCCCTTATTATTGTCATCATCATTATCTTTATCATCTTCATCATCATTATTATTATTATTATGACATAATTTTATAATTCTATTATTTTTTATTCCCCAGACATATATAGGAAGTGTTGTTGTGTCCATCAATCCCTACCGAAAATTCCCTCTTTACACACGTGAAGTCATTGCTGAGTACAGATCACGAAACATCTACGAACTATCTCCACACATGTGAGTATTTGAATGAATGGGAGAAGGGAGAACAGATTAAAAGAACAGCCAGCATGTACAAGCACAGTTTTCCACCACAATGCATGATGAGAAACTGAGTACTTTTGTTGTTTTGGCTCCTCTAACCAGGGACTGAGGAGCCGGGGGGGCTGGGCGGCTGCAATCCCCCACTTGTTGCGCAAAGTCAAATACTATCTTTTTATAGCTTAATTTTCAAATGCCAGTCCCCCCTCCCCCACTTTTTAATACATATGCTCCATGGTCCCTGTCTAAATATTCATCTGACAACTTTTCCTCCAATGTTCTATTGAAATGTAAGTATTTTAACAGACGAAAATTAGTTTTTTTCTTCTGAAAGTTCCTTTGATTTCCCTGTTACATTTTTGCAGTACTCAGTTTCCGATAATGCTTTGTGAGCTTTGATACACATTGCCTATTTGAATGAATGTCAGATGATCAACCAGACAACCAAATACTTAATAAAAGTATGAATCATTGAATTAACAAATGAACTAGATGATCTTGTTATTTATCTGGTAAACATTCTGCATGAAACCAAAAGCGTCTATTAAAACTTAGCAGTTAACAATATTTCAACTGTCTTTCTTGTTTAGATATGCCATTGCTGATGATGCTTACCGGTCAATGAGAGATCACAACAAGGATCAATGTATTCTGATAACAGGAGAAAGTGGATCTGGCAAAACAGGTAAATGATGACATTGGTATTAGAAACAAATATGACCTCAAAATAAGTAGTGACAGGTTGTTAATGGTGTTGATGGTTAATTGGTAGGACTGTCAAAAGACAGATGGTGTTGGTGGGCTGTTGGTAGGGTGTCAGTAGATTGATGGTGTAAGTGGGTTGTTGGTAGGGTGTCAGTAGATTGATGGTGTTAGTGGGCTATTGGTAGGGTGTCAGTAGATTGAT